TAGCTAGGTAAGTCCTAGCTAGGCAAGAAACAGTTTAGGCAAAAGAGGGGAGGTTCACTAGCAGCAATGAGGATACATATAGCAAACCCTAGATGGGTTGTACTCGCTATAGAGCACCCCACTACAGGCTAGAGAATAACATTCTGACATGGTGCGTGCGCGCGCGAGCATGGAGAGGGATGAGAGAAGGCGGACGGGAGGTGGCGAGAGATGGAGGACGGGAAGGGATGAGAGAGGGAGGACGGGAAGGGGTGCAGGAGGGATGGTGGGAAGGGATGAGAGAGGGAGGATGGGAACGGATATGACAGGTGGGGGGGCGGGAAGGAAGACTGAGGGTGGTTAGGTGGGGGAAAGCAGGGAAGAGGATGGGGGAAAACATGGCAGAAGGTGGGGGGAAGCTGGGTAGAGGGTGTGAGAATGCATGGCATATGGTAAGGGAACAAAAGGGAAAGGATGAAAAGATGCACGGCATAGGGTGGTAGGGGAGTGAGGGCGACGTGGAGGGGAAGTGAGAGCGATGGGGAGGGGAAGTGAGAGCGATGGGGAGGTATGTGAGGAGAGCAAACCCTCCTCACCTCTGTTCTCCCCCCTCCATCTCTCCTTCTCTGGCTGTCCCCCTCAATCCCTTCCACTTGGTCCCTCCCGATCTGACTCTCCCCTCATCCCTCCCCCTCGGTTCCTTCCCTACTATCTCTCCCCCTCTGTCCCCGCAATCCCCTTTGTCCCTCAACGTTAGTCCCTCCCTCACTGTCCCTCTCGCTCAGTCCTTCAACCTTAGTCCCTCCCTTACTGTTCCTCCCCATCAGTTCCTTCCCACTGTCTGTCCTCCTCGGGTGGTGTATGTGGGGATATGAAGGAGGACATGGGGGGGGGAGGCGGGTGGTGTGTGAGGGGATATGGAGGTAGATATTTGCAGGGGAAGCGGGTATCGTGTGAGGGGGTATGGAGGTGGATATTGGGGGAGACGTTTGAGTCGACTCAAAAGTCAGGTCGATGATGACTGGAAGGAGCGAGGGCGTATGAAATAGTTGATACCCGCGATGGGGTCGATGTCGACGCGGATAGGCGTTGACGATAAGGGAGACTTGTTCGATTGGGATGGCGGAGGCTACAACGGGAGGCGAAGGCCTAGAGGAGCATCTGGGGCAACGACTCTACTTGCGCGTTACGAGGGCAGGAGTGCGTGGCGTCGGTTTCAGCGTGTGATCTGCGGAAGAGCGCTTGTGGATGGTTGAGCGCGTGACGAGGGGAAAGTGTGGAGAGTCACCTTATAATGGGAGTGGAATACGGAGGAGGGCACGTGGTTGTGCGGGTGATCATTGCGTTCCAGTATCGTTACTACTAGTTGTTGTGTTCACAAAGAAATTTGGCTAGAGTTTCACTAGAGATTGAAAATAACAATCAAATTACAATGAGGCATGCAAGTCGATATAGCAAGAAAGACATTTCAACACCTAGCATGCATTCTGCAAGGCGAATCGCCAGCGAAGCATCAGAGCGGCTTGAAAACGCTGCAGCAGGGCGGCCTGCCAGCGTAGCAGCAGAGCGGCTTGCTAACGTTGCAGCAGGCCGGCCTGCTAGTGCTGCATTCGCATGTGCCAGGTAGAAAACGTGTCATCGGTTTTGCCAGGTGTCCACCGCGAGCACATGATGCCGTTCTGCAGGTCGACTTTGCCAAAACATGGCGAAACTCGCACACCCCTTCGCAATTGCGCGAACTCGGCCGACCAGTTTGCCGAGACGAGTCTCGCCGAACAGTACCCTTTGATTAGGGGACGCGCTCGTCAAAAAGCACCCCATCGATCAGAGTTCGTCGATGGCCTGGTCGACCAGAGGACGAGCTCGTCAAATGACACCTTGTCAATCGGAAGACGAGGTGGTTGACGATCTCTGTCGTCTAGGCCCGACCAATTCGACGACCACTTCGTCGAATTCACCATGGCGTCGCGGATAACGCATACACCCAATCGCCTCGCACTTTGACAGAAAGCGCGTGACGACGAGAGAGTGCACATGACAAGGTCAGGCGCGGGTGACGAGGGGACGAGCGCGTGACGAGGGGACGAGCGCGTGACAAGGGAAGAAGCACGTAACGTGAACATGCACGGGTGACGAGGGGGGGCGCGGGTAGCGAAGCGCGTGTAACGTCGCGTTGCAAGGGTGATTTCGGCGTGGCGAAGCACTCGTGGGCAAGTCAGGTCTTGGTGTTTAGATGAGGCGACCCTGAGCTGCCTAGCTATTGGCGAGAACTAGCTTTTGCCGCACAGTCTAGTTAAGTGAGGAACAGGAGGATTATGAGTACTACTAGATGTTCGAAATATGTGAAAGGCGAGCAGCGCTCATGGAGAGCGCCGAGCTAGTGAGTTTCGCGATTGAGCACAACCGATCGCTTGAGATTCTCGCAACGCGTTGTCCCACGGTCACGAGAGTTCTCCCAAACAAAGTAGGCTAACCCAGTTCTTGGCGATTTCAAACATGTTAATTTAAAAAACAACCACACTGTACTCAGGCTTTAAAGGGCAGATGCACAGATTAGTGAGATGCTGGTAACTCACAAAATTCCGACGAGTCTATGACAAACATTATTGATTTTTTTTTTTTGCTGTGCCCGTTTTGGCGGGAAAACCCGTCCAAACGGCTCCTCATTCGTTCCCATTTTCTCGAAAACCACGGCCGAGACGCACTTTTGATGAGGTGAGCTCCACGACCACGAGACTGCTCCTCTGCCAAGAGGAAGCACGTCCACCGTCGTGAACCGAATTCTCCCTGTTTTGGATCCTTCTCCATCTTTTTTTTTCGCAACCGCTCACAAAATCCAAGCCGTCGATTACAGATAGCCGGCTGCGCCGTCACCACATCCATGGTGTTTTTCTGCTCCCTAAGCTGATGCTAAAAACTCTTGAAGACTGCCCCCACGCGTCAATCTCCAAGTCCACTGGGATCACATGTTTATCGAGGAGAGTTTTCACACGCCGCTTCCACGGAGCTCATCCGACCGCCGCAACACCTCGATTCTCCAACAACCACCACCCACCGTTTCACCATTCTCGATTCTCAAAGCTCCCTCCCAAATTCGCCCAAACCCGAACCCAACCTTTTCCATGAGCCACCACCACTTTCCTCCACATCTTCCGCTTGTGCTCTTCCGTGCTTGGCTCCTCATTTCTTACCTCTTGCTCCCATTTCACTCTCCCGTCCCTCTTGCTCGCGTCGCGATCTGTTAAAAAAAGAAAGTAGAGACTAACGGCCTTACCCTCGGTTTCCTGTGGCTAGTATTATTTTTTTATCGAAGCGAGCTTCTTTTGCGCGTAGGAACCACTGAGTTACGGTGCTTCAGAAACTGGGATAGCATAAACCGTAACTGCCTGAAGCTGTCGGGTATGCGTGGCGGTCTTTAGCCTCTGACATTTTCGTGGTCAAGTGAACGGACCTCGCTTGTTCGGCCTTTACTTTTCTTTTGAAGAACTGCCGACTCTTTGCTTGGTGCTTTGCAGCCAGGCCCTTAGCAACCCTCAGTAGGACCTTGGCGACGTTAGGACCTTAGCGACGTATTGTAAAGTTCAGCTGCATGTTAACGGCTATTAAGTAGCGTCCTGAATGAGCACGTTGATGCTTTTGATACTCATCGGCATGCGCGCTCCTTAGACCCCTGTTTCCAGTTTTGAGTCACGAAGAAAACCAGCATGAGTCGAATACGCAAACGAAACCCCGTCTTCGGCATCGCGGGATTGGCTGTTGCGTTCCTACTCCTCCTACCACTCTTGCCGTCTAAAGGTAATAAATAATCTTACCGTTGTCAGTTGCCTTTCTGGTCGGCAAGTACAGTAGTTTCTCGTCTTATGTACACGGCCAGCATACCGAGTCTCGGCTCGTCAAGGTGTCGTCATGTTTCCTCGCTGAAGTTGCTGATGCACGCTATTAGTCCTTCGCTGTGGCTGGGCTATTGCAGTTTGGGCAAATTCCGTGTCCCAGTAGCACGTCTAGGGTCCCAGTATCAGCTCCTCCGGCAAGCGTTTCGGTGTGTATCTATCCAGTTTCCTCATCAACCGTCTTTTCTCCGCGATTTTTCTTCGTTTGCAGCATTCAATAGTCGCGTTGATGAGGAGGGTGTTCGCGCTCACTTTCATTGGCATCAACACCGCGAAGCGTCCTGGTTACCATCTAGTAGCGACAGCAGCTCTTTCGCAGATACACGGAGCTCGACCCTCAGCACGCGCGCTCCGTCCAGTAGTGCTGACTCACTAACTGATCCCGACAGCATGACTGATTCTCATAACCAGGTTCACTTAGACAAATTGACTGACCCTGCAATTGGGACTGATTCTGTCAGCCCAACAAATACGCCAGCTGATTATGATGACGACGACGATGACGATTTCGACGACGATGACGCTTTACTTGCCGCTAATCCAGCCTCCGCTTTTGACGACGATTTCGGTTACACCTCGTTTCAGTCACGTCTCGCATACTCACAATCAGCAGAGTTCAAGTCCAGACCAGATATGCTCTTTTTAAGTTCGCGGGACGAATACTCATCCTCCTCCTCTTCGTCACCTCGCTCCTCCTTCTCTTCCTCCCCTCACTCGTCTTCCTCCCTCCGTTCCTCCTCCTCCCTCTCAAATCCCTCGCAATCCTCCTCGCGTTTCGCCTCCCCTCTCCGAAACCCGTCACGATCCTCGCCCGCATCTTTTCGTAACAAAAGCCCTCCAAGATCCTGGAAGCTTCCTAGAAGTAGAAACCCGAGCAGAATCAGCACTAGAATAGGAACGCAGCGAGCGTGGGCTCCTGTTGCTCCTACACCCGAGTACGTGCACCCTAGCGAGGTGTCTCTTAACGCGGCTTTAGCATTCGAGAGGCAGCGGGTGCTTCGGCAGGAGCAGCGTAGGCGGCAGCAGCAGGTGACGGGACCGTGCAGCCCGCTAGAAACGGCGAAGGTGATACGAATCAAGTCGTACGCGGACGTCGCGAAGCGATTAGATTTCGCACCGACGCAAACGGTGATGCTGGTGCTGCTTCCTCCCGGGTTCATCGCAAGTACGGGTCTGCTGTTCGACGGAAACTACTCGTGCACGATCCTGCGAAGCAAGAAGCCGGCGCAGAGAAGGTAGGGTGGACTCTCATCATGACTCTCATCATGACTCTCATCATGACTCTCATTATGACTCGTTATGACTCTCATTATGACTCTCATTATGACTCTCGTTATGACTCTCGTTATGACTCTCGTTATGACTCTCATTATGACTCTCATTATGACTCTCATTGTGACTCTCACTCTCATTATGACTCTCATTATGACTCTCATTGTGACTCTCACTCTCATTATGACTCTCATTATGACTCTCGTTATGACTCTCATCATGACTCTCATTATGACTCTCATTATGACTCTCATCATGACTCTCATTATGACTCTCCTCCTGATTCATTCCATACGCCAGTGCCTCCCTATCTCGCTACCTGTTACCTCATTATCCAACCCGTTACCCATCCCGTTTCTCCCTCCACATCATCCCGTCATCCCGTCGCCGCGTGACAGTTACATCAAGCTCACCCACGCTATGCAACCATGCTGCGCATCTAGAGCACTCCGTAATTTGTTACCCTGCTTCCCCGTTACCTAGCCCGTTACCCATCCCGTTACTCCCGCCCCACTATCCCATCATCCCATCATCTCGTCGCCCCGTCGCAGTTAAATTAAGCTCACCCATGCCATGCAGCCCGTGCTGCGCACTTGGAACACGCACAACGTGATCGTCATGGACATTAATTTCTACCTTCCCGTCAATGTGCTGATGCCGTGCATATCACACATCATATCACACTCCCCAATCCCATCACCCCGTTACCATGTTACAGTTACATCAAGCTGACAAACGCGCTGCAGCCAGTGCTGCGCATCTGGAACACGCACAACGTGATCGTCATGGACGTCAATTTCTACCTGCCCGTCAAGTCCAGCTCACGCCTCTGCTCCTTCACTGAGGTCGGCAAGGGCATGCTGTGTCCGGCCATCCACATCTGGCGAAGCTACGGCGTGCAAGTGGCCAAGGTAAGTCTCGTTGGGGCGGCCTTGAAATAGTGGCATGTCAAGCCCATCTCTTGCATATGCTCCCTCGTTGGTAATGCTCCCGCCATCCACATCTGGCGAAGCTATGGCAGGTAGGTCTCTTTTGAAATGCATGAAGAACCTGCATGCTTGGTAGGCCCAAATGCTCTGCCTTGCCATGCACACCACATCCGGAGGAGCAAAGGCATCCAAGTGGCCAAGGTAAACGCCGTCACCAACGCTACCACTTTGTCAACTCGCCCCCACACACCCCCAATCCTTCCCTTCCACCCATTCTCCCTTCCCCCGCCCTCTCCCCCTCCTCAGGGCGAGGTGTTTGGGCGCATAGACGTGTTTCGCAGCATGCAAGCACGGGTTGACGGCATGAGTGTCACCGGCACCTACCGCTTTGTCAACTCTCCCCTTCACACCACACCCCCTCTCCCCTCCTTATCACCCATCCACCCTTCCCCTCCACATTCCTCACCCTCCCCCCACCCTCCAGGGCGAGGTGTTTGGGCGCATAGACGTGTTTCGCAGCATGCAAGCACGGGTGGATGGCATGGCATGCATGAGCGTTACCAGCACCTACCGCTTTGTCAACTTGCCCCCACACGCCTCAACTCCCCTTCTTCTCACCCACTCACCCTTCTCCTCCACCCTCCCCTCCCCCTTCCCCCTCTCTCTCCCCCTCTTCCCCACCCTCCTACCCCCCCAGGGCGAGGTGTTTGGGCGCATGGACGTGTTTCGCAGCATGCAGGCGCGGGTTGACGGCACGAGTGTCACCGGCACCTACCGCTTTGTCAACTCGCCGCCACACACCCCCTCTCACCTCCTTCTCACCCACCCTCCCTCCCTCCCCCCAGGGCGAGGTGTTTGGGCGCATAGACGTGTTTCGCAGCATGCAGGCGCGGGTGGATGGCATGAGTGTCACCGCCACCTACCGCTTCGTCAACTCTCCCGGGGTTATCCGCATTGGGGAGAGCGGGTACGGACCGGAGCTGGTGCGATCGAATATAGTGATCTCGAATAATGAAGCATATGGTGAGTGGTGGAGAGTGGTGTGGTGTGGTGTGCCCCCTTAAGCGTACCAAGTATGCTGTGCTGCATTGGGGAGAGCGGGTACGGGCCCGAGCTGGTGCGGCGGGCAAACAAAGTGATCTGTGCTTCACTCAGTGTGGTAGGAGGCATGCTGTGCTGCATCGGGGAGAGCAGGTACAGGCCCAAGCTGGTGCAGGCGAACATTGATATCTCAGATCATGAGGCATATGGTGAGTGGTGTTGACGGGTGGGTCCCTCGCATCATGGTGAGTGGGTACGGGCCCGAGCTGGTGCGGGCGAACATTGATATCTCGAAGAACGAGGCGTATGGTGAGTGGTGTGGGTGCCTCCTTCCTGGCTGTTACTGTAGGTGCCGAGTAAGGTTGACTATAACTCGGTGGGTTGGCGATGGGGAGAGTGGGTATGGGCTCGACCCGAGCTGGTGCGGGCGAAAATTGATATCTCGAAGAATGAGGCGTATGGTGAGTGGTGTGGGTGTGGGGTTGCCACCTCGCAGTGGCATAGCAATCACGCCGACCACTGTTGACCAGGGAGGGACCCACTCTCCCCACTCTCCCCAGGGCGAACATAGCCATGGGGACAGTGGTGAACAACATCGTGCATGGCTGTTTATGTACCTGCAGACGATTAAACTGATTTGGCATCGCGGGCATGCGGTGCGGCGCGGACGGATGTGCACTTTACGTCGGCGTCGGCATTAAAAAAGAATGTGGCGCCGACGAGCACTCGTCCTCTCTCTCACCCCTTCCCATTCTTCCCTCTCTGCCCTCGCGCTTCCCCCATTGTCTCAGGCGTGGATACACCCATTGTGATGCACTGGGGAGCGGTGGGAGTGACAGTGATCAACAATTTCGTGCATGACTTTGGGTTTGCGGGCATCCGGTGCGGCGCGGACGTGCACTTTGCGGGCGACTGCATGCTGAGCAACATCTCGAACAACATTGTGTACAATTGGAGGAGGAATTCGTCAGGGGATGTGGATTCGGCTGGGATCTACTACTGCACACACTGGTTCAGCCCTGGTGGGTGGTGTGGGTGTGGTTGGTGGTATGGGTGGTGGTGGTATTTGTGGTGAAGAGTGCGGTGAGGGGGAAGGGCGACTGCATGCTGAGCAACATCTCGAACAACATTGAGTACAACTGACGGCGAAATTCGTCAGGGGATGTGGACTCGGCAGGGATCTACTACTGCATGCACTGGTTCAGCCCTGGTGGGTGTGAGGGTGCGGGAGGTCCTCCTGCTCCTGACCTAATCCCTCAAAACCTCAACCCCTTGTTCCGTATCCCTTGAAACTCCTTCCAGGCAACGTGGCAGAGTGCAAATACGTGGCATGGGGAGATCGCTGCTACTGCCTCCTCTATGTCACGACTTTTGAGGCGCCTCAAAATTAAACGTGGCATGGGGAGATCGCTGCTACTGCCTCCTCTATGTCACGACTTTTGAAGCGCCTCAAAACTAAACGTGGCATGGGGAGATCGCTGCTACTGCCTCCTCTATGTCACGACTTTTGAGGCGCCTCAAAACTAAACGTGGCATGGGGAGATCGCTGCTACTGCCTCCTCTATGTCACGACTTTTGAGGCGCCTCAAAACTAAACGTGGCATGGGGAGATCGCTGCTACTGCCTCCTCTATGTCACGACTTTTGAGGCGCCTCAAAACTAAACGTGGCATGGGGAGATCGCTGCTACTGCCTCCTCTATGTCACGACTTTTGAGGCGCCTCAAAACTAAACGTGGCATGGGGAGATCGCTGCTACTGCCTCCTCTATGTCACGACTTTTGAGGCGCCTCAAAACTAAACGTGGCATGGGGAGATCGCTGCTACTGCCTCCTCTATGTCACGACTTTTGAGGCGCCTCAAAACTAAACGTGGCATGGGGAGATCGCTGCTACTGCCTCCTCTATGTCACGACTTTTGAGGCGCCTCAAAACTAAACGTGGCATGGGGAGATCGCTGCTACTGCCTCCTCTATGTCACGACTTCTGAGGCGCCTCAAAACTAAACGTGGCATGGGGAGATCGCTGCTACTGCCTCCTCTATGTCACGTCGGGCGATGTGATCCTGCTGCTCCTGACTCAACCCCCTCAAACCCTCAACCCCCTCAAACCCTCAACCCCCTCAAACCCTCAACCCCCTCAAACCCTCAACCCCCTCAAACCCTCTGCAGGCAACGTGACAGAGTGCAACTACGTGACAGAGTGCAACTACGTGACAGAGTGCAACTACGTGACAGAGTGCAACTACGTGACAGAGTGCAACTACGTGACGGGCGGAGACCATTGCTACTACCTGCACGTCGCACTGGGTGCACTGCCACTCCCTCCTATTGCATCAAGTCCTGTCACAACCCCACACAACCCCTCACAACCCCCTCACAACCTGTCACAATCCCTCCTTCCAGGCAACGTTGCAGAGTGCAACTACGTGGCAGGCGGCGACCACTGCTACTACCTGGACTATGTCACATCAGGAGTTAACCCCTCTCAATCGCCTCACATCCCCTCATATCCCACTCCAGGCAACGTGGCAGAGTGCAACTACGTGGCAGGGGGCGACCACTGCTACTACCTGGACTATGTCACATCGGGTGTGGTGATCCGCGGGGGTGCGTGCATCAACACGTACGACGGCATCAAAGTCAACAATGGGAAGCTGTAAGTATGTGTTGGTTGGTGCTATGAGTGGGTGTTCATTCACCCTGATTTGGTTTTTACAGGGTTAAAATGTTTTCAAGAAGTGACTATCGTTCTTTGCTTAAGGGACCCTTTACGCTGCAGCTCTTCTTCATGACCAGTGACCCTTTGAAAATGATGCACCACAAGCATGCTGGGGTGATGCACCACAAGCTTGCTGGGGTGATGCACCACAAGCATGCTGGGGTGATGCACCACAAGCATGCTGGGGTGATGCACCACAAGCATGCTGGGGTGATGCACCACAAGCCACACCCGTCTTCCTTAGCCCTTTCTCTTCCCCGTCCCTCCCTCAAATCACTCTGTTATACAGCAACGTGATAAAGCACATCATCCTGAAGAACGTGGAGGGGCATGCCCGGCTGGTGCACGTGCTTCACGCCCACCGTCAACAACTGCCGCAAGGACTGCTCCCCAAACTCCCAACTTCCTCCTCTGTCTGCCGATTGCGTTCAGGCAGATGCGGGGAACGAGATAAGGCCGTTTTTCATCCCCTTTTCTCTTCCTCCCCCCCACCGCATTCCCCATTTATATTCTCTTCAGCAACATGAGTAAGCACATCATCCTGAAGAACGTGGAGGGGCATGCATGCCGGGCTGGTGCACGTAACTGATCCCCTCTGACCATTCTGCTGTCCACTCCTCCCCCCCACGCCCCCTCTAACCGCTCTGTTCTCCAGGAATGTGATAAAGCACGTGATTCTGAAGAACGTGGAGGGCATGCCGGGCTGGTGCACGTGCTTCACGCCCACCGTCAACAACTGCCGCAAGGACCCCGGCACGTACTGGGAGGCCATGCGGCTCAAATACTACGACACAGATCTCTTTCGCAGGGTGAGTGGCTTAGAAAATGCTCACAAATGCAAGCAAGCAGGCCAACAGGGGCCCCGGTAAGCTGTGGCCCTGATGGCCCTGGTGGCTCTGATGGCCCTGATGGCCCTGATGGCCCTGGTGGTCCTGATGGCCCTGATGGCCCTGGTGGCCCTGGTAGAAACTTGTCCATCAACGGAGTTAGCTGCAACCCCAACCACCCCTCCTCTGTTCTTCTCACTCGCCCACCCTGCACCATCCCCCCCCCTCCCTGTACCCCTCCACCCTTCCTAAGTGGTCCAGTGTGGTGTGAAGACACGTCCATTAACCCTTGCAACTGCAACCCCAACCGTGCTATTGTTCTCACTCCCCCACCCTGCACCTTTTCCCCTTTCCTCCCTCCACTTTTCCCCCTTCTCAGCTCTGGCCCTGGTGGCCCAGTGTGTGTAAAGACACATCCATCAACGGTGTCAGCTGCAACCCTCCAGGTTCCATGGCAGCTTACCTGACCGGCAACTGTAGCGGGCTCGGCACCGAGAATTACCTTGACCTGGTCGTGGTCAACATGACTAAGAGGAGCCTCGATTACAAATATTGCGAGAAGATTCCGGTGATGCCGAAGTTCAACACGCATAAGATGATTAACATCACGACGAGCTCGTTAAAGGTGCTGCGGAAAATGGGGTTTCGGAACTACAAGCGGCACGATCTGGCGATTGAGTCGTGGTCTCCGATCTACAAATGGAGGCCGCAATTCAAGAGTTGTCGGAAGGGTTTGGCGGGAATGAAGGTGATCACCAGGGAGGAGTACAAGAAAGCATTTAATATCCCGAAGCCGGAATACTTTGATTTTACTTTGGCGATGAACTTGACGCACATCCATGATAGGACCTTATTTTGACATGCTGTTCTTTCTTGCAACAGACTCCAATTTATTTATTTACTTGTATTTTGTGCCTTATATATAAACTAATCTATTACGGTATAATTTCGTTCTCAATTCACTCCTGCGAAAATAGCTTCACACCCCTAGGATCTGCTTCCTTCACGCTTCACTCAGGATTTGCCACACAAGACTCCAAAGTAAAAATTCCTCAGCGGGAGTATATTTCTCATTTCCCCCGCGAGACAGAGTTCCAGGATCCAGTGGCCCCCACCAGTTTAGCACAGCAAAACACACCACTGATCAGTACGGGTCCTACACTGATCAGTCTTTATATCTCTAGCGGAATTTCACCTGAGTGATTGTAGTTACGGAATGCGGCTGACGGCCGAGGTCCTGAGTGTCGCCAAGTTTCGTCCAGATTGCCTCTTAGGAACACGGCAGCGGTCCGGTGTGAAGGAGTGGGAGTCGGTGCTCTGGTGTTGACTCAGCTACGCGCTGGCCACGAACGGATTCTGAGCGCTGAGCTTCCGTCTTGAGGATTCAGAGTGCTGAGCCTCTGTCTTTTGGGGACTCTGAAAGCAGTTTTGTGGAAAAGTTATGAGTATGGAACGGGGTAGGAAGCGTTTTAGATACTTGACATAGCCTGACTTTTCTGTTCGTATACGCTTATACCGAGCAGTTGTGTCTGTTCGTAGAAGCTTATACCGAGGATATAGTTTCCCATGGGGAAGAAAGGAGGAGCATCGGTGAAGGTCGGCAAAGGCGGCAAGGCAGCCAAAGCCCGCGGAGGAAGCGGCGGAAGAAACGGCGGAGAAGGCGGAGAGGGGGCGAAGAACACTGATGCGGGGGAGGTAAGGGAGATGAGGAGAGATGGGAAGTGGGGTGCAGGGAGGAGGAGGAGGAGGAGCCGGAGCGGGAAGGTTAATGCTTGATTGTATTGCTTGTCAGCTTGATGTGCAGGATAGTCTTATTGCAGCTTGCCACCCTGCCTGTCCAGGCCTCGAGCACAGGCAAGCAGCAAAGGCGGCAAGAGAAAGAAAGGGAGAAAATAAAGAAATCCAGTTTCTCGTTACTGTCATTAGTCTCTGTACTAGGTCTCTTTTCCCCTTCCTTCCATTCCTCCCCATCCAGGCCTCGAGTACAGAGGCAAGCAGCAGAGACGGCAAGGGAAAGAAAGGCAGAGGGAACGCCAAGGGGAGGAAAGGGGGAGGCACGTACAAGGGGGGAGGGGGAGGCGTGTGGGAGCAGCTGAGGGCGCTGGGGCTGTGCATTCGACAAGTCAGTGCGGACGGAAACTGCTTCTTCAGGTTCTTCCTCCTGCCTTCACTTCAGCGCTCCATTCAGTGCTTCAATCTAGTTTCCCCGCCCCGCCCGCCTCCTGCTCCACCTCCCCCTCCCTTCTGCCTCCCTCTCCCTTTCCCAACGCTTACAGTCCAGTTAAGTGTTCATGCCTTTCTGATCTTATCTCCTATAACTTCCCACCTCTGTTCTTGGAAGCTCAGAGCAGTGTCGGATCATGTGTTTGGGAATCAGTCCAAGCACGTGGAGCTGAGGTATGCTCAGACAGCTAGTGGACATGCCTTTTGTATCTCTTTCTCCCCTCTCTCTCTCTCTCAAGCGGTCCGTGTATTAGATCCAAGCAAATACAGACATGCAAAGGATAGAGATGCTACTCATACAAATCATCTTCTAACCCACACATCCCACTCACCCCCCTCCCCCTCTGCTCCGTCTAAGGGAGCTCCAGCACCGGCTCTAAGATGGCCAGGCAGTCCCCAAGGGACATGCCCTCGCCTGGCATCTCCGCAGGTGGGTTCTCCACCTGTGCCGCGTAGTTGCATTTCTCCATAAAGCTCACCGACTGAGCACGCTGCAGCGCCACGGACCACCTCTGGCGGAACTGGTGCAGCAGCTTCGTAGCCTGGTAGGATGAGGGGGCCGCGTTGAAGAGCCTGCGGGCGGCGGTCTCGGCTAACAGCTTGAAGAATTGGGGCACTTCCTCGCAAGGGCAGCCGTAGGTGTCAACGGCGAGTGGGAAGAATCCGACCCACGAAGCCGTTGAGCCTTCGTAGTCGGAGATCTTCTTCTCCGCCGCTTCACGGGCTGCCCACCCCCTGCCCTTGACTGCGTTGGGGTCACGGGTGCTGATGGGGTCCGTGATTGTCACGTCCCCAATCCAAACCGCCCCCGAGGACTTGTCCCTGATTGCTATGTCCGCCTTCTTCCTAGTGACGGGGCAGAATGCGGTTGTCTCTCCATGAGTCATGAAGTCCGCGTCGTTGGCCATCCGGAGGCACTCATCCCGCAGCTCATTATGGGTGTTGGTCCTCCCCTTCCCTGTGTCACAGCGCAGAAGGTGGTTGGGCAGCCGTCGGTCTGTGATTGCCGTGTTGTTGCGGCAGTCACAAGCCCCAGGTGCAGAGGAGGGAAGCCCCATTCGGAACTGCAGTGCGTGGGCGAAGTGATCTGGAGCCAGGCGCAGCGACTTGTTAAAGGGGACCGCGTTGAGCCAGTCCCCTGCCCCATACCCCGAGAGGGAGAGCATACGTTGCGTGTGCCCGCTAAGGGGGTTGAGCGGCATGTCGCGCGTGGTTTGGACCTGCTCGGCGTAGCGGCGTCCGTGGACCGCGATTGCCAGCCCGTGCTGCAGCTTGATGCCTTTGGGTTCGGCGCGGTCGCTCTGCAGCAGCTCCTTCCCGTCCTCCGGCAACATCTCCTCGCACCTCTCCAACCAGTCAAACAGCGGGGACGTGTTGAGGTAGGGTCCCGCCATCTGGATCCGTGTTTCTGCCAAGGCGCCGACCGCCGCCTCGTCAATGGAGGTGAGCAAATGCTGCGCCTGCGTGTAGCTCGCCAAGAACCCTACGCGACCCTCCTCTGACGGGTCCGTCAGACCCAAGCCTCCAAGTGAGATCGGGAGTGAGGCTTGGGCCCAGGTCCGTGCTATCTCAGCCTCCCCCCGTGGGTGTCGAATGCCGCAAGCCGTCAACAGTGTGTCAAACAATCCCTTGCCCCAGTCCGACCATTCCTCCACTGGCAAGGGAGAGAGCGGAGTGGTGCGCGCGACATAGGAGACTCGCCGCGAGATGCATCTGGTAAGCAGGAGAGACGCCAGCTGTGGCTCCATTCTCGCAATTAGGCGAAGTGGGGCTCCCATTGTGTTAAGGCTGTCGCGTAGGAACGCTGCAGTTGCGTCGTTTCCGCCGACGAAGCTGCCCAGCACCTTCACGCCATCATCAATGAAAGGTACGCCCTGCGGCAGGGGTGTTG